CAGTTACCTAAAAGTTAAGTCAGTATTCTAAAGTAAGTAGCTCAAATGTTCATGTTGCACAGTCAAAAAGCCATTAATAGTTGTCATGTGAAAAATTAGTCTTTCCAGATGCATTATTCTGTCTGACTTGTCCAGGCAGAAATATATTGTTTTCTTGCTAACAGCAAAACGCCATATCACTGTCAATGTCTTCTTTAATGAGGGTCAAAAAGGGCTCATAAGGTGAAGCCGTGCTTAGTGCACCATCTGCTGGTTCATGTGTTACAGACAGACAGCTTCAGACAGTCTTTGGATTTCGCTGTTGATTTGTCATTTTTCCCTCAATTTTAAATGAATCAATAAAAACCCATACATTGTTATCATATACAATGTGCACAGACATCGAATACTGAGAAATTTACTTTCAGTTTTCAGTTTTGGCATGATAAAAACGACTGCCACTTGAAGTGTTTATTTCAAACCAGACACATTTGCCATACATTACATTTTTATCATTGCACTTTTTTTGTTTACCCATAAATAGCAATAAATGCCATGGTTTTAGTGACCAAATGTAGTCTCCTCTGCCTTCACTGACACTCAGGGTCATGCAGATGACTAACAGTATTTAAGACATGCATGTCAGCACCTTGCTTCTTTAATTGAGGATATTTAGTCAACTTTGGACCAATTTATATTCACCAGAGGCAGCCATGAACGCTCATAATAATCGATCTAATGACCTTCAGCCCCTCCGTTGTTAATAGATTGTCATGTTGGAGAACAGTATTGAATAGTGTCTCGGCTGCGGGACGCTGTTATTCTTTTTTTTGCTCTTTTGAGTCGGAGATCGCCTGATCTCAGCCCCGATGTGTGGAAGATTTATGACCCTTCTCTTAAATCAATGAGGACTCTCTGTGAGGGGCTGTAACCATTTAATGGACCACTTTGAATTCAACGGGATGTTCCCTCTTAGTTTTCATAAGGGGGGTTACTGTTAAGCTGAGAAGAAAATATGACACTAGCTATTGTGAGAATCCATCCATTTTTACCAATTGGTTTTTACTGCAAGGCGATGACATGGGTTTGTTTGTCAATATCTGTGTATACCGGGCAGATGTCACTGCAGCAGTATGGCACAGGGCCAAATACCTGCTCATTCATTGCAATTAAACTTGCTACGTATTCAGGATCTGATTCAGTGTGTGAGTAGAGAAGAGAGAAGAAGAGACAGAGTGTAAATCATCAGCGCGGCATTTTTCTCTTGGTTGACTAGTAAACCTTATTCAGGTTGTTTATTTTTGACTGTTGGTGGGTTAAAGCAAAACATTATATTCAGAAGATTTCAACAGAACCATGCACTTCTTCACATCCTCCTCAGTATTATGTCTTTTAATAAGTTTTACTGGCTCATAGGAAATAAATCTCCTCCACTGCCTAATGAGAAATTTAAAATTTGAATTAACACAACACTGTGGCTTATGTGACACACTGATCTTTAAACCAGAGATCAACTGAGTCACACTATGAGGAATATAATATACCTTTCTATCTCATTATGCTTTGGTAACCTTTTTAATAAAACTATACATATATTTAGCTTTTTTGTAGGAACTCTCCCTTGTGCTCATGTGAAAACCTCATATCTTATAACTATTCAAATTCTGTTGTTTTTTGCAGATTTTCTTGCTAAATTTTTAATTTGCTAAAGATTTTTGTACAGCAACATGGTTAAACACATCAAGTTCCATCTCAACAGGTTTTAGTATTGCAGTAGTATTGCCTTTAGTTAACAGGTTCCACAATATACAGTTCTGAATGTTAATGTTTGTACACCCCCAATATCTCGTGAAAAAAAAAAAATTAATTAAACGTATAATGCATTTTTAAATATATAATTATAAGAGTTATCTGACTCTTATCCTAAACCCATCTGACATCTTTCCGCTGTCTTTCAGTACTAATTAAGTTGTGCACCACCTTCATGTATTCTTCTACCAGTCCAATGTACCTCTTACTATTTAGTAATGTGGTAAGAAAGTTTATTATATAATATATATGCTGTCATACGTATGGGTCAACTGTACGACCAACCGCTGCCGGAATTATTGTAACGTTTCAAAATATTGCTGAAGTCTAATTCACACTTAAAAAACTAAAGATAAATCCAATATGACTTAAAAAGAAAGAAAGAAAGAAATTGTTTAATTTCCTAACCCAAAGTATTTTAGCTTAACATTATTACACTGTGTGCATGGAGTAGTTTCATAATTTGTGCATATCGTTCAATAAATAAATAATAAGTGCATTATTTTTGGATTAACCGTGTTATTAAAAAATGTTGACAAACATTGATTGTTTTTAATTAATTAATTTATCAAGGTTTTGACTTTTGATTACTGATTAGCAAATGTTTAGCTCTAAGGTAAATAAGGTATATTTTGTAATTTTGGTTCAATTCCAGTATATTTTGTAGCTGTTTTATTTATTTTTGATCATTTTTGATCAATGTTAATAGCCTTTGGCGTTTTTTGGACATTGTGCTATGTAATTCTGTTCAGTTAAAGCTTGCTTATATTTGTCAAATATTTATTTACTGCTAATCTTTAGCCATTTACTCCTAACCACCAGGCCCTTTTTTTGGCTAACCTTTAGCTGCTGTAACACACAAAGGGTTCACTCCTGTTCACGCCTGGTGTCATAGGCATGGCAGTCAAATGAGTCATACACGCTGTACCAGTAGGTTGCCCAATTTGGCTCTCGATGAGACTTTAAGGAGGCTGGTCGATGGTTTGTCATCTTTAAAAATAAATGTGGTGCCTTTGTGAAAAGTTTGGAAAAAACTGATGTTCATTTTTGAAATGCTGCTGTGAGTTTCAGTCCTTTCAACTATTGCTGACAATTATAATTGGTGTCACCTTTGTGTCATGCAGTTATTTTGTTGTGGAACAAAGCTCCCTGTGTTTGCTGTATGCTTTCTTTATGTTGTTATCTCAGTGGAAAAACTTGGTGGAAACGCGCCACTGCACAAAGACTAAGAACATTTTTACATTTCCAGCGCGGAGAAGCAGCTCTCGTGACTTCTGTTTATTCTTGTTTTTTTTTTTGTTGTTGTTTTTTTTTTTACAGTGAGTCTGCTCTGAGTTGGTGGAGGGTGGAGTGGGAGGTGGTTTGGAGGTGGGTTAGAGTGTGTATGTGGGGGGGGGGTTCGCATCGTGGCCGCTAGCCTCTTTCTTGTTGATCCTCAGGAGAGCATCTGTGCTGGGGGCATTGATTAGAGTGTGTCTGCTGGGATTACATCTCTGCCGTTGCCATGCCAACTAATCAGCTGATCCCCCCTTTTCAACTCCCCCTCCCTTGTTCAATCTCTCTCTTTGCTCTTTCTCTCTCTGTCTCTTTCTCTGTCTCTATGTGGTTGTCACAGCAACAAAAATATAGGAATAGTGTAAGGGCCACAGTGAGCCCTGAATTCAGCTAAAGGGACAATATTTTTTTACTCCCTTTCTTTCTTTCTTTCTTTCTTTCTTTCTTTCTTTCTTTCTTTCTTTCTTTCTTTCTTTCTTTCTTTCTTTCTTTCTTTCTTTCTTTCTTTCTTTCTTTCTTTCTTTCTTTCTTTCTTTCTTTCTTTCTTTCTTTCTTTCTTTCTTTCTTTTGCATCCTCCATTCCCCTTGCTCTGTATTTCTCCCCCTCTCTTGTACCATCTCTCTCTCTCTCTCTCTCTCTCTCTGCTCCCCCTTCCCTCGCTCAGTCTTTAATTGGCAACTCTCTCTCTGACCTGAAGTTCTTTTGTCTCTGTCGTAAACAAACCCTGCTTCTCCTCCTCTCCTCTCCCCTCCCCTCCTATCCCCTCCTCTCCCCTTTTTCTCCTCTCTTCTCTCCTTTCCAGATTACATTAATTTTCACATTTAAAAAAAAATAGCAGCATGGCTGATGGCTGAGAGGCCCAAGGACAGCTGCTGTGAATGAGCAGAGTAAATGTTGGCAGCTTAATAACTCACCCATGCTGCTAAGTCCTTGAACAAATTCCAAATGTAGACAAAACCCTTCTGGTGTTTATTCATTTATTTATTTTGTATTAAGTTAATAACTGACCAACAGACTCAGATTCTTCTTTTTTCATGTGTATTTATTGTTTCTAGTTGGGTGGACTGTTGCTCTGACGTGAGTTAGAGCTGTTGTACTGTAGTGTAACTGAGCTACAGGAGGGGCAGTAAATAACTCTGTATCCTTTTATGTTAATTTATATAAAATATATTAAATAATATAAAGTGAGCTTTATTTATTGAAATGATAAAAAAAGAAAAAATGGTAAAATTGTTATTTAAGATTTTTATTTATTTTTTATATTTTCTTTGCTTAAGATTCTATGTAGTAATATATATATATTTAAGCAGTTTTTTGATTTTTTAAGCATAAGTTTTACAATTTTAAACGTAAGAAAACGCTGAACTCGACGATCTTTTGAAAATGATGACACTTACTGAATGGGTATCATTTTTCTGGCTAATGATTAGCCTTTTGCACTGTATTGTTGGCTAACATTTAGTAATCTAATGAGCTATTTTAGGCTATTTTTGCTCATCAACGCTACATCCAGCTCAACTTTTTATTTTTCAGCACTAATTCATTTCATTGTATTTAAACGTAGGTGTAGTATTTTTCTGCATTTCTGACTCATATTTACATTCAATTTTATTTGTTTTTGCTTTTAGTGGTGGCCCAGTCCCTAGTGGCCCATTCACAGAACACTGTCTGTCACAGCACAGGGCCAGAAGAAGCCCAGATCTGGTTTTGCTTAAATTCATGGTCCATATTGCAGACACCAGGGCTACACAGCCAGTACTAATAGCTGACTGTCAATACTAATGAAGTCTCTAATCATCAGTTCAGAACAATACTGAATTGTACAGCATGTACAGGACAACAACTAGTCACCTGTAAAATTGTTCCAGTTTGAGAACCACAGCTTCACAGCTCGTCTGGATGTTGCACTAACCCCAACTTCTTCTCTTTTGTCCAGGTTTGTACAGAGGGTCGTTTAATACTGGAGTTTGCCTTTGACGATTTGATGAGGATCAAGACGTGGCACTTTACCATCCGACAGTACAGAGAGCTCATCCCTCGCAGCATCCTGGCCATGCACGTGAGTGGATAATCTGATTAATTCCACCAAGTCTAACACACATTTAGTCATTGGAGCTGTAGAGTGCAGTGGGAGCAGAGGCGTTTCTGCTGTTTAATGATCTCAGACTGAGCGTCTACTGTTCACTGCTGTTCTTTTGCCGCTGTGGTAGAATAGAATATAGGGAACAAAAATGGCATTTTTGTCAATAGCTTTCTCTAAAATTATACCAGATGCGGTTTAAACATTTCTGGATAGCTGTTTGTTTACATTTTAGGTAAACATCTAACTTTTTATGTACATGTTTTTTCCGTGTTTCTGTGTAAAAGGGTTGATATAGAAAGGCTTATTTTTGTTACATCATATCACTAGAGTTTTATTAGCGATAGATAGCAATTATCTGGCTACCATTTAGCCTTCTCTGTGCTACATTTTCTTTTTTTACTCTTTAGATAGTTTTTAACAATTTTGCTACAATAGCCAAATAGCATTTAGCTAGCCATTTTCTATTTTCTTCTTTTAGCTTTACAAACACACTAATGTGTATCATTTTTTTCCAGGTTAAAGTGACATTTTGTTCTTTTTTTAAGTTAAATTAATTAAGTAATTACAAATACCTTACCCTTATCTTCTGGGATATTTTATTATATATTTTATGGATACCTAATGTTGTCTGGGCTAAATTCTAGCTATATTAGTATAGTCTAAAACAATGTAGTAAGGACACTATAGAATAAAACATTAAAAAATCAGCACATCTGTTACACATGCTTCTCCTCCCGTCTGATTTATAAACAACAGTAAACATTTCCCTTCCAGAATCCTCAGTTTACCCAGGGCTAAAGGTGATAGGCTGCCCTGCTTGTAGAGCCATGTATTTTAGGACGCATCTTTTTATCAATTTTACTCACTAACAAATTGGTCCCTGTGGGTATTCACACTAATTCCTAAAGAGTTGAATATTGTGGGGAAATCCAGGTCCTGGCCAGATCTTCGGCGCTGCAGTGCTTTGTGTGCACATGTGAGTGTGGAGGTTCACTCTTTGATCATTGCCTGGACTAATGAAAGCAGATACAGACACCAGGGAGTCAGAACGGAGAAGTTTGAAAATGCAGATAGCAACACTCACTGTGCCTCTGTAGGGGTCTCAACCCTCTGGATTAAGCTGATCGACTGCTGTGTTTTTAAAAGTGCACAGAGACAGATTTGGAATAGATATTGATATTTCTTCTTATATTATTTATCAAAACATGACATTTGTTATAAATATATCTTTATTATTTAGAACCTTTTAGTGTTTGAGGTCTAGTTTTGACTTTGGAAAAAGGTCACAAAATATATATCGAAAGATTGAAACAATTACTCATTAAAACTAATACTATAAAATTATATTTACTGTATAATTATGCTAATGGAATTTGTTAAGATTTTAATATTTTTGTAATGCTTTTGGGCATAGTTACTGTAAGCTACTGTGGTGTTTTGTGGTGTTACTGTGGGTAATTTTTAGCAATTTTTTAGAACATCTCTGAGATTTATTTTTGGCTAATTTGTAGCTACCTATTTTGGGGCTTTTTTTCTTGGAGCAACCTTCAAGTATCTGAATTTTTCTTTTTGTTCCATGTGGACTTTATTTCTGTTTTGGTGACAATTCTTTGCGTGTTTATTTTTTATATTTCTCTTTCCCAAATACTAAATCACTTTTTTTTGCAGTTTTTAGCTAATGTTTACACATTTTATTCTGTTTTTGGTCACCTTTTATCTGTTTTTGGACTTACTTTTAGTAAGCACTTTTTAGTAAAAGTAAAATTACAGTTACATTATGTTAAATCTAGCATTTAAACATCCACTTAAACCTAATATATCAAATTATAGATTAATTATCTCCATATAATTTGTAATTTATTGGTGTGAGGATATAAGTACTTTAGAAGCTGCAAGAACAGAAACACAATTCTAACAACAAACTTAACAACAAAATGATTTTATTTATGATAAATGAACCTCACAAGTTTAGGAAGAGTCAAGTAATTGACAGGATTCTATTTGGTTCTTTGCTAACAAACATCATGCAGTTCCTGTAACACCTGCCAGATGTTAAAACTAAAATAACTTTGTTTGAACAGGTGAAGCACAAATGTAGGAATAGGAAGGTGTCAGTTGATGATTGACAGATGCCTCAGATAAACACATTCAGGGATTATTGCTGTGTGGCGAGAGCCAGGAATAAAATATTTATCCTTAGTACATCCTACCCGAATATCAGATATTTTATTCATGTAAAAGAAGCAGTAAAACAGTGTAGACTAAATTTTGAAAAGTAAGTGCTGTCAAGATTTTTAGCTGTCAAAACAGAAGTAGTGACCATAAAATGCAATTATGTAATTCAAAATGGCAGATTAGTAATTTTACAGCCTGACCACGTCACAGTGTTTTACAATATAACTGTAATATGTGTCCTCACATTATTTATTTATACACCTTATTTATTAATATAGATGTCACATATTTAGAGCATTATGTCAGTTCTCTGCAGTATATCACATTTCTCTGAAATTATATATTTATATGACACAATGACACATATATATATATATATATATATATATATATATATTATCTTTAAATAGAGTTAGTTAGAGGCAATTTAGATTATTCAAATGTCCTTAAAATATGATTTATATGGGCAAAAAGCACCCTTACTTTAAACATAAATGACTACATTGAGTGATATTTTTGACTGAAATATCGTTTTGCAGAGTTAGGGTAGGACTTGTTTCAGATTTATGATTGATTTAAGACGAACAAATGTCCTTCTTTTAACAAAAGAATTTGACATTTGTTCTGCCTCTGCTGGAGGTTCACATCATTCAGTCGAATATCCTTCTAAACAGATGCAGAATGTGATGGTTAAATGGTGGCCTTGAGCAACAGTGAATTCTGCAACGAACAGTGTAAAAATAGATAAAGTATAATTTAATAATGATCTCTGTTTAAAACCAGATAAACCACCGTCCAAAAACCATAACTATAATTGGAACAAGAACAACAACAGCAGCAGCGACGGCGGCAGCACAATGGGCTGTAGAAACAGCCTACAGGAGCTGCTGTACATCATTTTCAGTGATGTGTGATCTGTGTCTCCCACCCAAACATCTGCTGCGCCCCCCAAACCATTGCCCTCCCCCTCCTTCCAGCCTTCCACCCACCCACACACAAATCCACAGTGTAAGGCTATCCACGGTGCTGTATAGTAAACACACATTAGCCATTGACCTTTGAAATGTACATTCAAATGTATGAAATATAAAATAATGCAGCACCTGTTATAATGAATGTTAGATCATTAACCTGATTACATATATAAGGCATATATACATGTTGGCATTTCTCACCCAATAATTATTTGCAAATTAATGTGAAAAAATAACTTTGTATATAATAAGACTTTATGTAATGTGTAGATGTAAGATAAATTATATACTATTAAAAATGAATTTAAAATACTGCAGAAAAAAATAAAGGGATTTATTTATCAGTGCAAAAGTGCAGGTGGTTTTCGAAGACAATAGGGCGTCCAGATACTAGTAGGTAAACAAATATTAAAAATCATTTGTTATTGCATAAACATCAATAATAAACAGTGGTGTTTACTTGACAGTCTACAGCTTAGGACAGTATAATCCTTGGCTCCCTCTACCTTTGCAAAGCGAGACAGTGTGAATGACCAGCAGTCTGCACTCTTCTGTCCTGACCTGTTCTTATCTGAGGATCTGAATACACATGCCTCCACTGTCCCAGGAAAAAGGTGGCCCTAGATCATATGGCATAATCGACCTTAGAGGAAGGAAGGAAAAACTTTGACGATCTTGTTCTCCCAACTAAAGAATTTGTGACTTCTGTCTCCCTTAACCTGAAAACTCTAACTCTACTGTACTATTGTACCGGAATGTACTGTAATGTCAGGACCAGATTTTAAAAGAGGCTTGGGTCAGATTTGTGCCACTTTTGTCCACAGTGAGAACGCAGCCTTAGAAGACTCACAGAACACAAATAACTTTTACTTCTGAGCATAACGTTGAAGCCATAAACATGTGCATTAAAATGTAACATTGTAAAGGTTAATATAATGAACTGCTTTGTATTTTTCATTAAATCCTATAAGCATTACATTATTCCTTGTCAACTACCATTTGCTTTCTCTAAGTACAATTTTACAGTTTCTTTTGTGAATGTTAATCATCTGGCACTTCAAATATACAGCCATTGACTCATTATTCTTGACTAATGCAATTTCCCCCTCTACAGTCTGACGCAGACAGCGCCAATACCTCCTGCACATTAAACACTATTAAACATTTAAACTTCCTATTTGGACCACTGCCACACATGTTGAATTCTGAATGCAGTTAGTTCTGTGTTATTTGTTTGTGTTTGGCCTCCTGAACCCCGGTGTTTACCCGCATCGCTACAAATGTGTTGACATCCCGCTGCCATGACAAATTGTCCCGTACACTGCGTTTATCTCTGATTCTACTTGATGAGTAAAGTCATTCGGACTGTAATGTTAGCCGACTGCCAATGATGCAGCCTGCTTCAGTTTTGCTGTCAGTCATGTCAATGTGCTGACGGTGACAAAAGAGCTACCTGGTTTTTTTTTTTTTTCTCTCCCACTCTTCGACTTTTTTTTCCACACAGATGCGACTGGAGATAGACTGATGCATTTTTCATGAGGCCTGGAACCAGAGTGAGCTCAGCTTGGCTCCAGTCCTGGGCCGTGTTTTTGCTCTGTCAACACCTCCAGCTTAAGAATCTGACTGCTTATTCTTTGAACCACAAATAAGCCTAGTGAATAATCAGGTCTTTGAAGGATTTTTTTTCCTTCTATTTTAATAACCAGATGTCAATCTATAATTGGTATATTTAATTATTATTATTATTTTGGTATTTTCTAATTCTACTACACCTGCACAAACAGAAATATCTTTTTCTAGCATCATTTTTTAATTTCTATTCTTTTTTTCCTCAGAAATGTCCTGAACCTTTTGTGGTAAATTGGACTAAATACTCAATCAGACTTGAGTGAAAATACTACAAAAAAAAAAAAAGCAGAACACTGATTTTAAACCTCAATATATATCTGTTGCTATTTGCTATTATTAATTTGATTCAATGACGAAGTCTTCCCTGTGGTGCACACACACAAAAACTCACTCATCATATTCAGGAGAGATAAGGAAGTGAAAATGGAAAGGAATTAAAAAATGAGATGACAATGTTATATTTATTAATTAGCCAACACTTTGACAAAGGCGTCAAATGAAGGCCAGACACGCTTCCATTCAGATTAATAGCAACTGCATCAACAGTGTTGAATAGTCGCTCTCATGACTGGAGGCTGTGAATGTGGCGGTTGTGTGTGTATATCAGATGAAGGCCAATTAGACTAATTGTCACTGGAAGTAACGTCACAAGCAACAATGCTCAGTGTATTAAAGTACGTGTGGCAACAATGTTGCCACAAAACATATTTTTGGATAAACACTGGACACGTGAAAAATGTACAGCTACATTACACTTTTATTCAGGTTTTGGTTTTCATATGGCATCTGTGCATCATTTAGGCAGCTGTGCAGAGCAAAATTTAGATGTGGGAAATTGATATATTGAATAATAATAATAATAATAATATTTTATTTATGTCTTTAAGCATACCCAAGGTCACTTCACAAAGATAAAAAAAAACAATAAACGTTATCACATCACTATATGTTTTTGTTTCTTCTGACCATCCCTTGTGGTACAGCATCATAAAAACATAAATACATGTAGATTTATTAGTGTGTGTGAGTGTCTGTGTGTAGTGTCTAGCAGATGTACACAGTATAACATTTTTCTCTTTATTTTCATTTCTCTGCTCCTGACTTTAGGCACAAGACCCTCAGGTGCTGGAACAACTGTCCAAAAACATCACTCGCATGGGTTTGACCAACTTCACCCTCAACTACCTCAGGGTAAAGACTCTGTGTGTGTGTGTGTGTCTTCATTCTCTCATTTTTCTCTTCACATTTACTACACAGAGAAGAATGATTCTTGTCCATTTTTTCAACATCGATTCACCTTTTCTTCATGTATTCCAACTACATTTTTTTCACATACGTGTCTAGACTGCAGTCAGCTGGTGCAAACTGTGCACTTTTTTTTAATAACACGCCATTCTTCACTCGATTATTCAAGTTTTGTTTGCATTCTGTAGGAGAATAACTGATTTGTTTTTTCTCCTCCCTGATGTTCTTACTTAAGACCATGTTCCCATTCTTGAACATGATTTTTTTTCCCACTCCGATTTCCCAGGGTTCAAAAAGCCTGCATGCTCAGCACATTTTTATGTTAAAGTTAATAATTTCAGAAGATCACGGACATCAAAACAGCAAATACACGCTTATTTCTTTTTTACTTTCTGCACATACATGTTTTTGTTCCTGTCTGCACAAATGTAATGTGAGGAAATAGGAAGTGAGAGTCCCTTGAATATATTAAGGATTATTTCACAGGCTTTTATTCATGTGTGTCTGTGTGTGCGTACAGTACGCGTGTGTGCGTGTGTCTTCATCGCCACACTTGACTGACAGCTATGTTTTCCAAATGGGAGAACAAGAGTGAGCGAGTAAGAAGGACGGAGAAGAGAGCGGAATTAATTGGATACAGAAAATTAGCATAACATTAATGAACGCTCCCTGTTGAGACCCATAATTGTGAAATGGCGCACAAATCGGGCGACGGCACCTTTGCCGCGTCTAATGACAGAGTGAAGAACAGACAGAGAAAGAAAGAAAAGCAGCCTGGCTTGTTTTTGTTTTTTTAGAACAATAATTTTCCAAGAAAAAAAAAAGAATAAACAGAACTATAATACTGCTGTTAGAGGGAAAAATCTAGCTTTTGTATTGACAAACTAAATATTTAGGTTTTGTGTGTTATTTCAGTCATGGTCATTATGAAGCAAATTATATAAAACTCGTGCCTTGTCTTGTAATGCATGTGTGTTTCATATAAGGAAGTTAAACTGTCTGTTTATTCCCGCCTCACTTTCGTAGCCAAAATCCCATGTGCACTGAAAAAAAACTAGGAAAACGAAGGATTTCCTCAGTGTTCTGTATGATTTTATGATTATTCTGAATGATGTAGCAGATTTTCCTCTTAATGAGGTTTAATCTTCAGAGGTTTGGTTTCATTTTTGTACCATAAACTAGTTTCATTAAATTTGCATTTAGAAAAAAAAAGTTTGCCCAAATGACTGGCTTCATTAAATAAGACTCAGTCCAAAGACTTTAATTAAGATTTGAGTTTGTCTTGTAAATCAGCGGTTTTTAGTCATTTATTTTGATCTTGTTTTTATTTTGAAGGCTAATGTGAAGCAACATTTTTTAATGTAACCGCTTACAGAAATTTAGAAAGCCCTCATTTAAGTAGGTCTTTTTAATGACCTTTCAAATTTATATTTTCTGTTTTTAATAAGAAAAGATATCACAAAAACTCATCGGAATTAAGTTTGTGTTACAGGTTTTGCCAAATTTATTTAATGTTATTTGATATATATCACATAATGATATATCACATATTATAATATATATATATTATAATATATAATATTGCTCAGTGTTCTTAAATAAGCTGAAACGTTTGACATTTTACAACATTTAGCCCCGAATGTTACACATGCCCTACCTCATTACTTATGGTCAAAAAAACACAACCAAACTCATGTTGTCTTTTTGTTAACCGTTGCACAGCACACCAGTTTTGTCATTTCCTACATCAGTAATCAAGTGTAATCCCAGTCGTCACACTGCTGTGCGGTCGCTGTTGTTCAACATGTCACACCATTTACAAATCATATTTCCCCCGCTGTTATCACTGGTGTCGAGGTAAAACTACACCCTTTCCTCACATTAAACAGGCCATAATGTGCCTCTGGAAAAGGCCTTTCCCAGCATTTATCAGTCTTTCCAAAAGAGAATGACACTTTCCTGGCTGTGGGGTTACAACCGGGACTTTCTCTCGATCACAATCACGCTCTCTCTCCCTCTCTCTCATTATTATTTAGGCCTGATTTCCATGTACAGGAGCTGCAGGCTTCCTACTATTCAGCCTGAAAATAGAGCTTGTTTTCAGACTGAGAGCCAGTGTTGTTGGTCTGATCTGTGGAGGAACATTAACTGTGTCAGGAGGGAACATGAGATTAGTCTGTAACAGGGATGTTCATTTTACCCTGAGCTGCGTGACATCAAAACACCGCCATCCCTGCAGAGGCATCAGCAGCCGATACAGTGGATATTAAAGTTTAGACAACTCACAGCTGTTGTAATGTCAGGGTTTTCAGTGTGGAGCAATGACTCAAATATTTGTAAGAACTTTAGACTATAATCTGAACATTTAAATTAAACACAAAGCCACGTGTATTAAGAAAATAAGATACACGTGGAAATACAGAAATACTGTAATTTTTAAATCTATACACTATTTTTGTATAACAAATAATCAAAAATAATCAATAACTTAACAGTGCTTAGTAATAGGCAGCTGTTGTAGTATAATCCTTCTGCTAGTAACTACATTTTACAGTGAAAGCCATTCCCAGCATTTAAAATACTATGGAATTCCAGGAAATTCAGAAAGGAAAAAAAAACAAAACAAAATTTAAAGTGTATTTTCTTCTAAAAGGTGGTAAAAAGACTCATTTGAAAGGCTACTGCAGACCTCACTTAGAATGCAGGGATTTCTGGCAGTTACTTGTTGCTCCCATATATTGTTGAAAATATCCTGAAGATTAAAGATTGTGCAACAATCAGACTCTTCTCAGGTTTTCTTAGTAGGATACAGAAAAGTAGAAATACCCAAGAATACCATTCCTACATTGAAACGTGGTGGCAGCAGAGTCACTCTGTGGGGTTGTTGTTAACATGTTAGTGATCAGGAGCAGCTACAAACACAAGGTATTCTTTATCTTCAACTCCTTTTGCACAACAGTTGAACTTTACTGTTTTCTCTGTCGTTGTTGGCAGGTGTCGACTGAACTTGTGCAATCAATGGCTTGTTTTTGTTCATTTCTGGCCACAAAGATTTCGAGTGTTTCATCTAAAATGTCAAACATAGATGGAAGTATGAATCTAAAAATATACATAATGTGATCTTTTTGGATTAACCTAGATAAAAGATGCTGTCAATTTAACAGCGGCGTGCACATGCGTGAACGTGTGGCATGTAATTATCTTCATCTTGTGTAAATTGATGCACAGTAAGACGCTGACTCTGTGGGTTTTTGTTTTTTTTTTCTCACCTTTTTGCTGCGAATCCAGGTTCTTTGAGGTGATGAACATGTTGATTAGATCTGACATCACAAATGTGGAGGTAGTGGGACGCAGCAAGGTCAGATGAGATCATTTGAGCATGAGATGAATGATTAACAGCGCCCTTAAGCGAGGTAGTGTTTTGACCTTACAGCAGAGGAAACACTAACCGTCTTTTGTGGCGGCTTGCTGTGTCGTTGGACACGAAGCTGCAAAGTCACCACACTGGCTGAGACCTGAGTCTCTGCTCAGATGACATTTACTGTGTGGCATCCAAGTAAACACAACACCCTTGTTATTTTAGAGAAAGCTTTGTTCAAACACACACTACACACAGATGTCACCGTGTGTCTGCTGGAGGAGCCAGATGTAAATCTTTCACTTTAATTCAATAACTCACCATTAATCTCTAATTGTGCAAGAACGTATTTAACCTTTCACCTCGCACGATGTCATCATTCATAATATAACCCCCAAAAATGGCATTCATGAACTTTGCTACAAATGCAAAAACAGACAAATATACAAATATAGGCCTGGTGATATTTATTAATTTATCTGTACGAACTACTGTATGAGTATGAGATTAATTAAATGAGCTGCAATGCTGCCATCTAGTGATTTTCACTTTAAAATACATCCTTTCTTCCCCTAAACTATTTTTATGGCACACATCATATGGCGAAACTCAGGCATTACGTTATCGTTTTCATTATCGCAAAAAAAAAAAAAAAAGATAGCAATTCTAACAGATTTTACATACAATGCTGTTTTTGCTATTACAAGGCTGGTAATATCGGATATTCCTATTAACAGCACTTCATTTATTGTGTGAATAAATTGGATAAGACAAAATATTAGTTTACAAAAATGTGGCCACAAAAACAGTCAGAACAGAAAAAGGTTTAGGGAATGTTAATTCCAAAAACAGTTAACGTAAGAAAGTATGACGCACAAAGTAAACACAGAACAGATGAAATTAAGACAGCTAAAATATAGCCAGCCAAACAAAAGCAAAAAGTCTTAGCCAAGAAGTTAGTTAGCTTGTTCTTAGCCAAGTTAGCCAGCATTATTAAAACTAAGAGGAAGCCAGGCGATATATGTAAAAAAAGAACAATTTTAATACAGGAAATGTATTTTGTTTAGTTAAACTTGTTAAAGTTTAAGATATATTTCAGTCTTGTCACGTGTCACTGTTGGAAAAACATTGTCATGTTTTTCTTGTTCAAACGAACAGAACTTTATCCTGTTGGAGGATTTGACCCAGCGCGCAGGTGTTGTCTTGTTTTAGTAGATGGACCAGTGATTGTCCAATCACAGTCCTCTCACCGCAGCAGCCTGGATGATTGCTTCTGCTGAAGGATGTAGGCTCACCGGCAGTGTAATGTTAACCAGATGTTATCTGGATAAGCTAAGCCTGATGTATTAAAGATGACAGACTGACCCCTGGCTCCTCTGGCCGCAGAGCCACAGAGATTTCTGCTGTTTTCTCCAGACTGGGATTTATCCCTGAAGGTCTTTTATCTGGAGAATATTGTTGGAGACCAGTGTGGGAATGTGCATTTGGAGCGAGAGAAAAGAGTGTGTGTTTCTGTGTGTCTGTGTGTGTTTGTAGGTGTGTGTTGCTTTTTTTGGTAAACAGGTTGTAAACAGGTTAACAAAGGCTCCACATATTAAAATGTATCTTCCTGCTCATCCTCCTCTCATTATCTGTCTCCTTGTCCTTCTGACTGAAGCACTTGACAATAAACCTGTTTTTTTTTATAAGAGCGGCTTTAAAAAAAGTGATTTACTGCACAGCTCATCACTCAAAGTCAATCTGCGGTGATTAATTAAGCAACAAAGTCAGTGTTTTTATGGCCCTCATTTCTATTCTCTCATCAGGTATTAAATAAATTGACTTTAATTGAGTGTGTGTGTGTGTGTGTGTATATATATTTTGTTTTTCATTTGGGTTTTTTTCTGTGTTTGTGTGTGTGTGCACGCAGTTGTGTGTCATTCTGGAGCCGATGCAGGAGCTCATGTCCAGGCACAAGACCTACAACCTCAGCCCTCGGGACTGTCTGAAGACATGCCTGTTCCAGAAGTGGCAGAGAATGGTGGCTCCACCAGGTGAGGAGCAGGCACTACCTGGTGAACATGTACACACTCAAACACACACACACACACACACACGCACACTTATGGTGATGTACACGAGAATAGAAGTTTCTGATCACTGCACTCATTTCTTAGAGAAAGTGCAGGCCAAACTTTTACACAGTCTGCCAAACAGTGGTGAATATTTTCATATTTCCCCTTTTTTTTCTGACAAAACTATTTGATCTCAGTATTTGGACTCTCAAAATGCTCTGTGTAAGCCAATTCTTTTCCCCCTCAGAAATACTTTTAGTCTTTTTGTCATTTGTTGTTATTCTGTCTTTCATCTAACTAGCTCACTAACTAACCAACTAACTAATTAACAAGTCTGAGGATAAAGTCAGAATTTGAAAACATTTTAGAGTTCCATTTCTCACATTGAAAAGCATGAAGCTTGAATTTTGGCCTTGGCATTTCCATTTTTCAATTCAATTCTGTCTTTCTTTTCATCATTTATTTTTAGTATTCTGGTCTGCTTTTACTTTTATCAGTCTTACATACTTATGTTCTTTTTTTCCCTCCAATTCAAAAAATCAAGTTAAAAATTACATTAAAAAGTGTTTTTAGATAGTCAGTTTTGTAATAGGAGGCATTTTATCAACATTCTTATATTTTAGTTATATATTATTTAACTTATATATTTCTGATAATCATTTTTTTATTTCTTTGTCGCAAACTAAAATTAGGATTACTGGCTATGAGCAGATATTTCAAATCAAAAACATTTATTAGTATTAGTATTTGAACATAACAAAGAGAAAATACATTTATTTTTCTTTACTTTATCCTCTATGTCTCCAAAACAAGGCTTGTGTGCGCTTATCTTTTGACAGTGCATTTAAAAATAATTCAGAATTTCTGTTTTCAGTTTGATCTTTTACCTGCCGCCTCTCTGTCTGCTGCGAGTGATGGTTTCTGAAAAGAAACAGCCTGTGTTTTAAAATGAGGGGAAGATTAATTTGGAATTTTTTTTTTTTTTTTTTTTGGACACTGGAGTGGCTGCAAATTACTGCAATGCTTAGCGAGCCGTGACGAGACGTCTTTAAAAGCCAGCAGCAGTGGAAAGGCCTGTGACTCAGACCTGTGTAACTTTAATTAAGGGTTGAGGCTGTAATCAAACTGCTGAGGCTCCCCAGTGTCAGTGATGCTCTTCAAAGAAAGGGAAATAATATGGAGGGATTTTTATGAATATAAAGTCAGATTTAAAATATGTGGTCTCCTGTACTCATGTCTAATTTTGTCTTTTAAAAGAAAACACGGCTGGACATGTGGTCAGTAATTGTAGATTCTTTTGTACACAAATAACAAGAAAATATAAGTGCAACATGAAAACTATACGAGCAGATTTGAAAACATTTCACAAGATAAACGTCAGATATTCAAAAATTCACTTCAGAATTTTGATTTCAAAGTCAGAAAATACATATTTTCCATTTTTAATTATTTAATAATTAAAGTTTTATTTTGTAAAGATATATATTTTTTTACTTTTTTTAGATTATTCTTTTTTTAGGACATATATATATATATATATATATATATATATACGTATATATATATATAAAGTTTTGACATTAATCCCACATGTCAACTTTAATATTTCATATCAATTTTATATTTATTTCATGACCTTGTAACTCAATATTCTAAAATGAAATCTTGGTTTTTGGTTTATTTCTTATTCTCATTTCGCCTGTGATAGTGATCATGAATTCTCAGGCTAATGTCTAACTTTTACTTCGAACTGTCTTTAATTTCAGAAGTATGCCACTGATTTTAAAGACAAAAAACGACTGTGTTTGTTGATTTTTTAGTTTATTCCTTAGGTTAGCATGGAATTCATTCATATTTCCCACTCTTATTGTTCTCTTATTACAAAATAAGATTTAAGATTTAAACTTACAATACGATTTTTTTTTCTTTTTATGTCAGATGGAGTAGTCCATTTTTTAAAAACACTTTTTAGTCCGTAGTATATTGACAGAATATTTTTAATGTATTTCTATTTTTCGCAGATTACACAAAATTTAGATTTTCTTTTTAGAACTTGGATATCTGACTTTAGTATATGAATCCACTCCCTGGTTCACAGCTGTATTCTACAGTGTTATTGTTTTTTGCGCTGCTTGTTTTAAAAGAAACACTCATTAAATAATATTTTTATTCACTCTTCCTTCACAATGAACGTCCTCTGATTGTCTTTCTCAGAGGTCACTTCATGTCACGTGTCCATATTTTGACATTCAGTTTGCCCGATCTCTGCAGTTTCCCTGGAATTGCACTATTTTCCTCACTGCCTGTGTGTGTGTGTTATTTCCCCCCGTTTTCCTACAATTCTTCTCCAGTTTGGAAACTGGATGGGATTTGGGCAGGAAGGAAGCTGCAGAGGCATTTATGCCCCGATAAGTCCTTTTGGTGGAAATGGAAGTGATTTTTGTGCGTCACTGCTTCACCATTGAAGGAAACCAGTCGGATAACAGAAATGATTGTCTCCAACAATAGGCTTGTTTTTTTATTATTTTTTTCTTTCTTTTTTCTGCCCTTACGTCTGTCAAATTCAGGATTTAGAAAAAGACAACTGCTGATAACCAAAATAAAAAAAACCTTGCTTATTATTGTGGTTTTAACTTAATCTCCCTCATTGTGATTAGTTAGAAAAATATTGAAAAATGCGTGACGTGTTTGAAGATCACAGCAGTGTTTTCTTTTTTCACTCTGAATGAAAAAAAAAAGTTTTCTAACAAAAAAAACAAAGACAAAAAAAACCCTCACAAATTGTAAATTAATCAGCACGTGAATTCCTTCCTGAAAAGCAGATTGCCCGACATCTCTATTAACCTGCGTTATCATTTAATACCTGCGTTTCCTTTTTGTAATAATAAAAAAATGATTTTACCCCTGGCTTAATTGCACCTCCAGGAATTACGTTTGGCTCGTAATTGAAAAAACATCTCTAACTGCAGAACAAGTTCCCCTGTGGTTTTTAATTGCATCTGACATTGAGTGTTCAGTTATTTCTCTGCCTTTT